GGGGTGGTGAAGTGAGGAAGGCTGCCCCTTCCAGTCCAGGCTGCGTCACCTATTGTGCTTAGGCCTCCCTGGAAGTCAGACCTCCCAAGAGATGTGTGGGTTGGCCTTGACCCTGCGGGTCAGAGGGAAAGGCAGCGACTGCGAAGGACGATCGAGTGCATGTTTTCCCGAGAGTCCCTGTGGTGTGTTTGTGTTGGGGTTGGAGAGGGCGCACGAGCTCCTGCTGAATGTAGGTAATGGTCCAGGAGCCCGCCTGGCCTTGTAAGAGCAGGCCCTTCCTACCTTCACCTTGTATTTACACATCCCCGCTTCTCCAGGCTCTGCTTATCTCCGCACCAGCTCGGTCACCTGGCATCGTTGCTCAGGGTTTTAAGAGCCTAACCCTGGCACCGGCGCCTGGCCGCTGAGGGTTCTGGCAAGGGGTGGCCGCAGAGGGAGCAGTTCTATTTGCTCGCTGAGCTGGATCTCAGGGCGCTCACCTTTCCCTGGGGTTGCCCCAGCTGCCTCCAGGCAGTTTGTGGTCTCCACAGTACGCTCCTTTCCCACCTCCCCACCCCTTCTGGGACCTGCTGTCACCCAGCCACTTCAGATTGTCCCAGGCACTGAGTCCCAAAGGGTGGCATGCGTTGCTGTCTTTATGAACCTCGTGGTCTCTTTGTTTTTTTCTCCCCTACTGAAGTATCTAATTGCAAACAGTGTAGTATTTATTCACCGTCTTCTTTTACCTTTTTTTCCCTTTAAATCTCCTTCCCACGCTGAACAGTGTTTTGTATTTCTGAATCCGGAACAGCTGTGATTATCAGATGAAACGTAAACCTCCTCTCCTCTCGTTTCACTTAGAAGAAAAGAGCGTGAAAATGACCCGATTTGAGCCTTTGTATGCAGGCGGCGAATGATCAATTCCACTTAAAACCTGACTCAATTTTGAACAGGAGAAAATAGTTGTGGTTTTAACTAACTAGCCCCAGTTGGGTTTCAGCGCAGGAAAGCAATTGTTTAACTCCCAGCAAGTGGCCCCCAAAAGTCAGACCAGCATATTTGGCCAAAACATACTGGGAATTCAATGGTTTTAGGGCAGTGGCAAAGTCACCATAGGACTGAGTTTCCTGGTTTTGTGATAAAGCAAGAATTGTTAATTAAAAGCGCTTGCATTCAGCACCCCAAGCCTGGACAGCACCCCCTCTACAAAGTCCATTTCATTGGTTGGGACTGGAGGCATTCTTGGTACCACAATGGAGGCAGGGAGTCATTAAAACCATCTCTCAGAGATGAGAATCAGTGGGTAGTTGATATTCCCTTAGAGAAGAAAATCACCTATTCAGGTATAACACTGGTTTTGATTTTAAAGCTTTGAAATGTCAAGGTATCATTGGATGCCCAGGATTTTTGACTTAGGAGATCTAGGTCTCAATACACATATCCAGATCACTTGTACGGGGCTCCACATCATCACCAGTGAGAACAACAACATCACCTCTGCCTATCTGCTACAGTCATGGGCTTGGGCAAACCACATGTGTCTTTCTTGATTCTTGATTCCTTATGTATGCTTTTAAAAAGGCCACTTTATTATTTTTCAAGTCCTGAAGATTGTTCCTATCCATGCCAACCTCTAAGTGTTCCTACCCATGCCAATATCTAAGTGATGGAAGTTGAGAGGTTTTTAATGTGTGTAATCTACAGTCTATTTAGCAGCAACAATGTTATCATTTGGTTTTTCTGAATATTTATTGAGAATGTTTGATATTTCTTGGTCCTTGAACTTGTAAGCAATAGTCTTTTTTTTTTAATTGTCTAAAGGGACTGGGGGATGGCTTAACAACAAAGTGCTTGCTGTTCAAGCTTGTGTACCTGAGTTCGAATCCGGAGAACCTATGCAAACTCTGCATAATGCAAGTCTGTGGCCCCAGCATTGAGGGGTGGAGATGGGATAGATACACACCTTTGGAGTTTATTGATTAGCCTAGCAGCATGGTTGAGCTCCACAGCGAAAGACTATGAACCAAGATATAAGGTGGACAGCAATTGAGGAAGAAACCCAATATGCATGCTTACTTGCACACATGCACACACCAGTGGAACACTCACCTGAGTACACTCACACACACACACACACACACACACACACACACACACACACACACACACACAGAGAGAGAGAGAGAGAGAGAGAGAAATAGAGAGAGAGGGCAAGCGAGCTTAAAGCTGGGCATGATGATGGTGCCTGCCTATAATCCCAGGACTTAGAAGATGCAGGAAGTGAATACAAGGCAGACCTACACAGTGAGTTCCAGGACATTAAAGGTGAAATACTGAGACCCTGTCTTCAAAAATCAAACTATGTTATCAAATGATTTTGAAGTTATAGAAAAAGAATATATTCTATTTTCGGATTTGATTGTTGGTAATAGAAAATGAACAAGAATAAGAATATAGAATTTCTCTTCAATAACAACACATAATTCTATTACAGAATTGTGAATAAAGGCTAAATATAAGTAATAAAAATTTATTTTTTAATGTACTCTCCCACTTCTGTTTCGTAGGTTTAGGATCTAAATTAAAGAAAATTAAAGTGGTGGATTACTTAGGATTAGCATTCAGTCCTATGTTTAGTTTATAGTCAGAATTTAATATATTCATCAATGAATAGGTATATCAAGCAGAATTAAAATATTTGGATGTCATCAAATGGAATTGTTATAGTAAATCATTCCATAAGCAGAAGGAGTTGTGGTAGGGTGTAGCTCAGTGAAAGGGCATGTAGTAGGCTACAGGTTCAATCCCCAGCATTGCCAAATCGAAGCTAGCAGAAAGAGGTACACGGATGGAGTACTATTAGGACTCTAGTTGAGAGTCTTGTACACCAGGCACTAGCTCTGTCTCACTGCTATATTCACAATGCCACAATGGTGTTTTATAGCTTTTCATGGTCTAGTGAAGTACCCCTGGCCCCGGTGTTGGAAATGGAACCCAAGATCTCACACATGCTAGACAGTCAAAAGACTGCCAAGTCTTAACTCCAGGCCTTGAAGTTTCTTTAGCTGTCTTAAGTCTATGTAAGTGTTGCAGAAAAACAAATTTTGTAAGTGGAGAATTCCCCCTTTGTGTTTTATAACTGCTAATTACCCGGCTGAGGAGCTTTACAGCCAGTTGTTGCAATAGAACTCTGGGGTAGAAGCAGCTATCCTCACTTCATCGATTAGGGAATTGAGGTCCAGACAGGCTAAGGAGTTTGAGTTTAGGACCCAGTTATTGGTTTTGTTTTTACATTACTCTAGGCATTTGTAGAAGCTACCATCAATGTTTCAAACTCCATTTTATAGTCTTAGATTATTTCTCTGTTATAGTTAATGTATTTTAATTTTAATGGAATTGACTGAAATTTAGTAAAAACACTTAAATTTTTTAACACAATTCAGTAGAGCCAAGTGTTGAATTTATTTATGACATAACTTTGTTATGATTTCTATAAATAACAACTACTTAATTTTCTTCTAGGAGTTGATACAAAATTGAAGTTCACACTTGAGCCATCTTTAGGACAAAATGGTTTTCAGCAGGTAACTCTGTCTTTGGCTTTTAAGACTTTAAAAAAATTTGGGGGTACCAGCAGGGCACATTGTCATACATTCTTAAAATGAAAATGTTCAAATATATTTTGATACCCAGGAGCTGTCATTTTTTTCAGTTTGTAATAAAGTAACTTTTTTTGAAGATTTTATTTATTATGCATACAACATTCTGCTTCCATGATGTCTGCACACCAGAAGAGGGCACCAGATCTCATAACGGATGGTTGTGAGCTACCATGTCATTGCTGGGAATTGAACTCAGGACCTCTGGAAGAGCTGTCAGTGCTCTTAACCTTTGAGCCATCTCTTCAGCCCTTTTAAAGCATAAGTAACCTAGGTTTATGCTTGCAATGAAAAATTTTGCATTTTTAAAATAAAGTGATACAAGAGTGAATGACATGGTTACAGTTTTACTTCAGAAACCACAGAAAGCTCACGGGCAGATTTTTAACTCATGTGTGGCCTTTTGTTTCAGATCTTTCTAGCAGTTGGGGCCAAATGGGTAACAGGTGTATTTAGTTAGGACACTTAAGGCTTGAGATCCTTACAGACCGAAGAAAGATAACTCCTGGCAGAGAGGAGCCCTGTGTCTTAGGGTGCGGTGTTAATTTTCTCATGTACTATGGATGTTGTCTTAGTCAGAGTTGCTATTTCTGTGATGAAACACCATGACTGAAGTGAGTTGTGGGAGGAAAGAGTCTATTCACTTTACACTTCTACATCATAGTTCATCATCAAATGAATTCAGGACAAGAACTCAAACAGGGCTGTGGTAGGATATTATTTTAAGGGGTGAGACTTTTGTTTATGCTGCATTTGTTGAACTCTGTGAAGCTGTGATTCTTTGCTTGACTAAAACACCTGATGGTTTAATAAAGAGATGAACAGCTAATAGCAAGGCGGGAGCAAGGATGGGTGGGGCTGGCAGGCCGAGAGTCTAAATTGAAGGAGAAATGAGGAAGAGGAGGAGAAAAGAGAGAACAAGGAGAGGAGGACATTAGGAGCCAGCTACACAGCAATCCATGGAGTAAGAGTAAGATTTACAGAAGTAAGAGAACAGGAAAAACCCAGAGGCAAAAGGTAGATGGGATAATTTTAGGTAAGAAAAGCTGGCTAGAAACAAGCCAAGCTAAGGCTAAGGAAAAGCCTCCATGTGTGATTCACTGGGGAGCTGGTGGCAGGTCCCCCCAAAGAGAAAAAAAAAACATCTTACTACACAGGGCAGGATCCTGGAGGCAGGAACTGATGCAGAGGCCATGGAGGGGTGCTGCTTACTGGCTTGCTCCCCATGGCTTGCTCAGCCCTCTTTCTTATAGAACCCAGAACCATCAGCCCAGGGATGGCAGCACCCACACTCAATGACTAAGAAAATGCCCTGCAGACCTGCCTATAGCCAGATCTCACAGAGGCATTTTCTCAATTGAGGCTCCCTCCTGTTGAGTGACCCTAGTTTGTGTCAAGTTGACATAAAAACAGCTAGCACAGATGTCCAGATGGAGGAAGCCTGACAAGTGTTGCTCCAGGTCCGTATTATTGCTTCTCTCATGTTTCTCTCTGGTCCTAGTGGTACGATGCCCTCAAAGCAGTTGCCAGACTATCAACAGGGATCCCAAAGGAATGGAGGAGAAAGGTAAGTGGGCCCACAGGGCTAAAATGCAAAAGGACCATCATTCTGTCCATTCCAATGTCTGGGAAGTCAAAAGAATATTCTTCATTAATCATGTGCTGGGTATTTATTATTCTTGCCAGGTAATATTTGCTAGGGATGCAGCAGTGGAAACAACAGCAGATGGGATATTTGTTCCTCACAGGACTTACAGTGAATCAAATATGGTGTGCCACCCAGGGATAAGTGCTGTAGAGGGCTGGAAGCAGAGAAAGAAACGAGACTGTGGGAGAATAGGGATAAGGAGGTGGAATTTTATGTAGAAAGTGACATGTGAGTAGGGCCCTGAAGGAGGAAGTGAGCAGTCAGCTGCAGCTGCCTGAGGGAAGGCACTCAGTTCTCAGCTCTCAGTGAGAGCTACAGGGGAGGTTCATTGAGGAGGGGGGAGGCAATAGGGACAGGTCTAGAGACCATGTGAGTGGCTAGGTCATGAATGCCCTCCTAGGTTGTAGAAGCACTAGGGCTCTTCATTCTGTGTGTGTGTATGTGTGTGTGTGTGTGTGTGTGTGTGTGTGTGTGAGAGAGAGAGAGAGAGAGAGAGAGAGAGAGAGAGAGAGAGAGAGAGAGAGAGAGAGAGAGAGAGAGAGAGAGAGAGAGAGAGAGAGAGAGAGAGAGAGAGAGAGAGAGAGAGAGAGAGAGACAGAGAGAGACAGAGAGAGACAGAGAGAGACACACAGAGAGAGACAGAGAGAGACAGAGAGACCGAGACAGACAGACAGACAGACAGACAGACAGAGACAGAGAGAGAACACGAACACTGGGAAGTTCCAAACTGGCTGGTCAGATGGGATACTCTGTTGCCTTGAGCATATGAGACATGAGGGTGCAAACCAGGAAACATGTGGACTCTAATACCGACAAGAACAGGACCAGTGTTGTGGTTCTTAGAGGCGGTGAGAGGGGTTAGATTCTGGATGTGTTTTGAAGGCTGAGCTGAGATGAATGCCCAATGGATTGAATACCAGACGTAAATGGGATGTCATAGGTGACCTGAAGATTTTGGCCCAAGTGGCTGGAAAGGGAGAGCTGCCGTTGGTGCAGACGGGAGGGACAGGTGTGTATGTCTGTGTGTATAATTGGAGTAGTGGTGGGTGGGGTAACTGATCTGACATCTGTTGCAGTTGAGATGCCCTATAGGTATCTAACACAAAGGTATCCAGTGGGCCTTTGAGCAGGGTTCTGATGCATAGAAGCTGGTTGCCAAGCTATGTTCAAATACATGAAATTTGAAATGTACTCGAAGGTTATTAATTTTAAAAATGCAATCTTAACATTGGAATTTGAACACAAGTGTTTCCTCAAGTGAATATTAATATGGATTTACCAAATTTGTTTTTCAGAATTAGATTTTCTTGGTCAGGTAAAGGAGTGAAAATACCTACTGACGCTTGAAAAAAAATTATTCATTCTGGGAATCCATCTGTCAGAATTGTGTGTGGGAGGAGGTTTAAGTCCTCTGTGGGGGAAAAAAAAAACATCCACGTGTGACCAAGTAGCTGTTGCCCAAGCAGGGAATGATTTAGGATTAAGCAAAAAACAAAAAACAAAAAAACAAAAAACAAAAACAAAAAACAAAAAGCCTCCCAAAACCAAAAAAAAAAAAAAAAAAAACCCACAAGGTTATAGAATTATTCAGCCTATTCAATGAACCAAAATAAAATTTTCTTTTCTATGATTAGTTTGTTAGTTGGCACAGAGTAGGACCTCAACAAATATTTATTGCAAGAAAGAATGAAAGACCCTCCAGGGTTCCCTTTAACACGGCAAACCAGACTTGCATGTACGAGCTAGCCCTGACCTCAGAACAGTTCCTATCCCTTCCTGGATGTGATCCTAGTTTTCTAATAAAAGCAGGCATTCTGTTTCACTGATGTTCTCTATTTACTCGACCCTTTAGGTTTGGCTGACGTTGGCGGATCACTACTTGCACAGTATAGCCATCGACTGGGACAAAACCATGCGCTTCACTTTCAATGAGAGAAGCAATCCTGATGACGACTCTATGGGGATCCAGATAGTCAAGGTGACACTCATGAACTCCGCTTCCTGTTCAAATGCAGCAAAAAAGGAATCACAGAGCCAAACGTCTCCTAGACAGAGGGTCGAAAGACCTCCGTGTCTGATCATCTACATATGATCTGCCCCTTTATCCCATCACTTAGTAGCTTTTGTGTGGAGAACTTGACTGTGCCTTGCCTCATAAGTTTAAATGTTGCCAGAAAAAAAAATTGAGAAAATATGGATGAGCTTCCATGCATATCTGATTGATCTAATTTTGTTACACAATAGGAGATTGAAGTTCCTTTTAATTTTCCTTAGTATAGGTCAGGGATACCAATTGTACTTTCAAATTAAAATCATTGGACCGAGCGATTTAGAGGAGGGTATATTTTGTATTAGAAATGTCTGGCTCTTATTAGAGCCTTTGCTAATCTAAATGTTAATTTATAGATAGTTGGGGTTGGCTGAGAGATCTTCGTTAAACCAGGTGGTTTGGTGTTCAGTTCAGGTCAGCTGTGGGGGCAGCTGTGGCTGTATGTCTTCATTGTTGCAGCTGATGCTGAGAGCCAACAATGCTGATTTCATTTGATACCAGAATAATCATTGTACATAAGGCTCGGGCACGTGGGCTTTGATTTTGTGAGTGTTCCACAGTGGGATGCTAAGCTGGGATATGAAAAGGAAGGCTGTCTCATCTGCATTTTGGCCACCACAAGATGGCTAATGTGTTGGCACATTTAAATCCATTTTTTTTTTAAAGGGAGGAAGAACAAACTAAAATGAGCTACTTTCTGATCTAACTGGGTTTGTTTCAAACGAACATTTTAAAAAAAATCGTGGCATTGCACGTTGCATGCTGAAACCCTTTGCATTATCCATGCTCTAATACGTTATTTGGAATTTCCGCATAAGACAAAACTTCATATTTGGAATAATCCCTTTCTGTTATGAGTTAAGGCAATGGATGCGGTTTCAAAAGGCATTATCTTATTTTATGTCTGTGGGTATTTTGTCAGCATGTATGCCTGTGTATCACTGCCATTCCTGGTACCTACTTGAGTCAGATAAGGGCAATGGATCCTTTGGAACTGTAGTTACAGACGGTTACAAACAGCATCTGGATGCTCAGAATTGGACCCGTGTCCTCTGGAAGAACAGCCAGAGCTCTTGACCTCTGAGCCAACTCTCCTCCGGCCCTGTTTCTTTTTGAAGCCGGATCTCACTATGTATCCCTGGATAGCCTAGAACTCACTATGTAGACCAGGCTAGCCTTAGAGTCAGAGAAATCCACCTGCCTCTGCTTCTGCCTCTGCCTCTTGAGTGCTGGGATTAAAGGGGTGCACGTCAGTAACTGGTTTAGGCAATGCACATTTTATAATCATATACAAATATATAAAAATTAATTGTTTTCATTGAAACAAATGCTCCATCAGGAAAATGATCTTCTCTCCTGAAAACCATGGTCATCTTGATAATTAAAGATATTAGCCCCATTGCACATTGAAGAGCAGCAGGTGTTACGGTCTGTATTGTAGAAATGTATAGCGTGATCTGCATAGGATAATGTCTCTGTACAACATAATGACTTTGCTGTTTTAATCTAGTCTTTAGTGTTATAGCTTTAGCAGATAAGCCTCATACCATATTTTGTTCAAAGGATTAATGTTAGCACCCCACATTACGTGCTGAAATGGCTATGTATGCAAACATGACTAATGGACACCTTTAAAAAGGCTCTTGACTTACAGGAAATTGTAATGGAGTTTTGTTCATTGAGTACCTCTTTGTGTTGATTCTAGAAGCACTCTCAGAACATCTGCCTGACTAAAACATGTCCCTGTAACTCTTTCTCAGACGGCATAGTTGAAGGCAGTAGGAAAACACAATTCAAAAGAGTGTCCTGGCTCTCATTCATATATAAATTCAAAATTCAGTATCTAAGTTGATAAAGATGAAGGCAAAGTGAGAAAAGAACTTATTCAATCACAGAGACCAAGCTGTGAAAAATATCTGAGACAGTCAACTCATAAGGAGAAAAATCCATTTTGGCTCATTGTTTGAGAGGGTGTTTTGACACATTGTTTTGGGTCTGTGGTAGGCAGGCATCATGGTGGCATCAAGAGTGAGCAGAGGAGAAATACTGCTCACTTCATGAAGACCAGCAAAAAAGAGGGGGGAGGGGAGGGGAGAGGATGGGAGGAGAGAGGTTCTCAGTAGCCCCTTCAAGAGCATGGATCCAAACCATAGCAGGTGATAATTTTTAAAACTCCCCCCCCCTTAGGATCTGCATCGCACGGGCTGTAGCTCCTACTGCGGCCAGGAGGCTGAGCAGGACAGGGTGGTACTGAAGCGGGTGCTGTTGGCGTACGCCCGTTGGAACAAGAATGTGGGGTACTGCCAAGGCTTCAACATCCTAGCTGCTCTGATTCTGGAAGTGATGGAAGGCAACGAGGGGGATGCACTGAAAGTGAGTATCAAATTCAGACACAGGCAACTGGATGCCGAAGTTGGGACCCTAACTCTCTCCTTTGATGTCTCTCCCCTTCTAATCCCTTTGTAATTAATTACCTGTGATGGAATTTCCCCAAGTTAAAGCCATGTCAGGTGACATGCCTTAGCCAGTTCAAGGGCCTATCGCTCTGGCTTTCATGATGGTGACCCTTTTGATCTTACTTGAAGGTTTGAATGTCAAGGGTGTTTGCTGAGTATGTTCAGCAGTTGTTGACAAGGCTGAATTCCTCACAGGCTGTTGAACTGAGTGAGGGGGTCTCAGGTATTTGATGGTGATTGACTGGAGGCCTTTTAGTTTCTTGCCCTGTAAGGTCCCCCAGCCCAAACTGGTCAAAACATGACACCCTGTAAGGTAGAAGAGGTTATATATTTGCAGCCAAATGTCCCCTGTGATTGCTGTTGTTTTCCCATTCCCATGGTCACCAGGTCAGTTTATACCTCAGGGGAAGGAGGACTTATAGAAGTGACTTTCAGGCCAGGGATATTGCTTGGGTGGTAGACGGCTGGCATAACCTTCACAAGATTCAGGTCCCAGCATTGCATAGACCCGGCATGCTAGTGTACTTCTGCAGTTCTGATATGTGGTGGAGGTGGAGGCAGGAGTGTCAGGAGGAGTTCAAGACCATACTCAGCTACATAATGACTTCAAGGCCAGGCCAAGCCACTTGAGACCCTGTTGACAGAGAGGGGCATGGCACACACACACACACACACACACACACTAGCAGAAGATGGAGACTCCTGGGGATCAGATTTGAAGTTGCCTGCCTAGCACACAGTTATGTTTAATCTGGTTGGACTGTCTTACTTGAATGTTTTAGTCTGGTCTTGGAGACAAAGTGGAGAGGAGGTAAGGAGATGTGTCTATGGGAGGTGTCTCCATGGAGAATGCTTATGACAGTAAATGGTGTCTTTGATGTCTAAGGCCTGTTGTAGTTGAAAGTAGTTCTGAAGACACTAGTGGTGTTAAGATTAGAGATCTGAATATGAGTGGGTAAGTCAGCCACTGTGAAGAGACTCCATGACTAAGGCAGCTATTATTAAAGAAAGCATTTAATTGGGGCTTGCTTGCTTATAGTTTCAGATGGTCAGTCCATGACCATCATGGCGGGGAACATGGTGGTAGGTAGGCCAGTGTTGTGCTAGAGTAGTAACTGAGAGCTTATATCCTAATCTGAGGTAAGGGAGGAAGGCAGCGAGGGAGAGGAAGGGAGGCAAAGAGGGAGAGGGAGGGGAGGCTGGTTTGAACTTTTGAAACCTCCAACAAGGCCACATCTCCTAATTCTTCCTAAACAGCCCACCAACTGGGAGCCAAACATCCAAATCTATGAGTCTATGGGGGCCATCTGAATTTTAAACCATCACAGAGTATACATGAAAAATGAAGCCTTGCACACATGGAGTGCACCATTGCCTCATTTGCTTAAGGCAGTGTGATTTTTCCAAGTCATAGCTGAACTCCAAACTGATGTTGACTGTAGCGTTTGTGACGTATGAGATTTAATCTTTGTATTCAAGCCTCCACCTGCTTGACTGTGGGGAATATCTTGGTGACATGGAAAAATAAACAAATGCTCCACCTGGTTTTATTCATATTGCTGTAGACTTAATTATAAACCCAGCCTGGAGTGCATACACCCTCTCACTTTTTCTGTTTATGTATTGAAGGCAATAGCTTCAAAGCTACCCGTTCATCTAAAAGGCAGCAGCGGCAGCTAGAGGGAAAGGCAGTGATGGGTCTGTGTGTGACTTGGGGATGCTTAAAATTCAGAAGCAATTTAGGCTGGGCGTGATGGTGCTCGCCTTTAATGCCAGCACTCAGGAGGCAGAGACAGGAGGATGTCTGTGAGTTTGAGGTTAGCCCAGTCCACAGCTTTAGTATTTTTTTTTCTCAGGAATAGTTTGTGTGTCTGAAGTAGGAAGCATTCTGTTGAAAAGCTGGAATAAGTGTCTCAGAGTGGAGGCAGGATGAGAGCTCTAGGGGAGGTGTGTACGTGCCAGTCAGACCACAGAATGGATCGATAATCCTTGAGGGCTTAAAAACACAGAAAAAAGCCCGCCTGGGGTTTAGGGGTGGTGATGCACACCTTTAACCCCAGCACTTGGGAGGCAGAGGCAGGTTGATTTCTGTGAGTTTGAGGCCAACCTGGTCTACAGAGTGAGTTCTAGGACATCCAGGGCTGCACAGAGAAACTGTCTCAAACAAAACAAAACAAAACAAAACAAAACAAAACAAAACATATTGGGGCTTAAGGTTGGTGGTGAACACATTATAATCCAAGCACTTGGAAAATGGAGGCATGAAGATCAGGAGTTTTTTTTTTATTTAAATAATGACCTTATCTTTATTTTATGTGCTTTGCCTACATGTATGTCTCTGTGAGGGTGTTGGATCCTCTGGAACTGGAGTTATAGACAATTGTGAGCCACCACCATGTGGTTGCTGGGAATTGAACTCATAATCTTTGGTAGAGCAGTCAGTGCTCTTACTGACTGAGAAATCTCTCCAGCCAGAGGACCTGGAGTTTAAGGGCAGCCTTGGCTACGTAACAAGTCCAAAGTCAGATCCTGCTTAAAAAGAAAAAGTAGAAATAAAACCAAAACTAAACAAAATAAGACCGAGAATGAGTTCAGCGCCATGAGATACCTCATGTGGTGACGCATGAGGACGTGTGGACCTTGGTAGATGCTGCACAGGCAGAGGAAGCTGAGGTTCGTGAGGGGACCTTCCTGATGCCCAGGGAATGACTTACTGCAGGTCTGTGTTTTTCTAGCAGCTGTTTTAGCTTTTGCAAGATAAATGATGGGGGAAATCCATAAAAACAAGCCAGCTGCTTTTCCTCTTCCTCAGCAATTACCGCGCTTTTCCCTTTTAGCTGTTTTGTTTCGAAGTGTTCGTTAAAACTTTCAAGTGCTCCCGTTCCTTCTTCCTCATCTTAATCTATGATGTAATACTCCGTGTTTGGAATCCAGTCGTGGGTAGTGAGTGGGGGGGGGCTGTCTCCTATGACTTCATATCAGAATTTGAGATGATATTAGACTGAAGATTTTATTGTGTCATAGAATGACTAGCATAATTGGGGTGAGAGAGATGGCTCAGATGTCAAAGAACAAAGTAACACAGTGGGTACAGCAGTTGAGACCCCCAGAATTCACATGAAAGTTGGACGGATGTGGTGGCCTGCCTGTCACTCCTGCATGTCAGAGGCAGAATCAGGCAGTCCCTAAGGGAACAAGCTAGCTAGTCAGACTAGTTACTCAGCCTCAATAAATGATGTGCAGAGTGATAGAAGAAGGTGCCCCGTGTCATCCTCGGCCCGTCATGTGTACTTGTACACGTGTAAACATGCATATACCACAGGTTCCCCATCACACATGCATATGCACAGATTTTACCAGCACAACTGAAGAATCTTTTGTAGCTTTAAAGAGGTCATAATTTCTTAATACAAATGGGTTAGGGCTGGGCTGCAGCTCCGGAGTGAAGTTGATTGCCTGGAATATGGGAGGCCAAGTAAAATGGGCCTCGGGTAGCCCAGGTGGCAATGAGTGCATCTTGAGGTCTGCCTTACTGTGGGCGTTTTACGACTGGCCAGCTCTTGGGATTTTCATATTGCCTAGTATATGGGTTAGGTCCTCAGCACCATAAATAAGTAAATCTATTTTCTCAGTGCTATATAACTTAGGTGAGAAGTGTAACAGTGTCAGATTATGACCTTTGAGTTTGTGTCCATTATTTTACCACCTCATCTTTTGATGACCCATGCCAGCCACAGCCGTCTGCTCTACTGTGAATCTGCTCTTCTGTGCTCTGACCCCATTCCCTCCTCCCTCTTCTGGTTCTCCCTCTGCAGGGACTAGGTGGACTTTTTTTTTTTTTTTTCTTTTCTTCCCTGTGGCTGAGCTTCTGCCTCTCAGGTGATCTGTTTATTGGTAAGTCCTGTCCTAATATAACAAAGCTATGACTCCTTGGGCCTGCCCAACCTCTGTGGATGGCTGCAAAGGGATTTCTCCGGCATCTGCCCTGACATACAGAGATAAGACCTGACAAATAGAAGTAAAAAACCACAAGGGGGGAAAAATGGGCCCTTGGCAGGACTAAAAGGTAACTTCTTTTTTTAAAAATGGGTTTTGTGGGATCTTGAGACAGGGATTTCTCCACTAGCATACAGAGCAAGCTGTGGCTTGGGTCTTTGCTTTTCTGGTGTTCTGGGGAGCTGGAGTATCACACAGCATCAAACAGACTGGGAAAGGCTATGCACTGAACTGGTGTTTGCTTTGTTGGGTCATTTGAGTGGCTTTTGACATTTTAGAAAAGGCACCACAAGTACAGCGGTCAGAACAAAACGGTAATTTGAGGAGCTCATGTGACACAGCTATGAGAAGAACCGATTTTTAAAAAAAGTGTGCAAACAAAAACTAGCTAGGTTCTCTACAACTGGTGTCGGTCACTCTGATAGCCCAGGTGGCCATGAAGTGCATGCAGTGCATGGTGAGGCCTGCCTTATGTGGGTGTTTTACGACAGGCTAGCTCGTGGGATTTTTGTATCCAGGTTGTAAAACTGATGACATCAAGGAGCCAGGATCGAGGATCCTGCTGAATGCAGGGAGCTTGTGCTTCTCCATGAGGCCGAGGGTTGTGTAATCACAGCTACAGATGGGATGAACTCAGGTCTGGCAGTCCTTCTAGAAACTTTGCAGCACAGCTGACTTTGGGTTACTAAGCTAATTATGCCACCCGCTCCTTGCAGCAGGTGTAGGTGAGTCCTGAAATGGTTTCTGAGGCATTGGGAGGAATGTGTGCTTTGGTTAGCGTTTTTTGTCTGTTTGGATGTGCTTTTTCTTCTAGGAGTGTTGGGATCCTGGTAGATATGAAGCAGTCTTTTTACCTTCTTTTTTATAGATTATGATTTACCTGATCGATAAGGTACTTCCTGAGAGCTACTTTGTCAATAACCTTCGGGCACTGTCTGTGGATATGGCTGTCTTCAGAGACCTCTTGAGGATGAAGCTCCCCGAGCTGTCTCAGCACCTCGATGCCCTTCAGAGAACGGCAAACAAAGAGAGCGGAGGTGAGGACGGCTCACGGCTGTTACATTTCTGGAAGTATTCTGCTAGTCTGGTTCCACTCTACCTATGAGCTTAAGTTCTGGGTGGAAGCATAGGTTGCCAGGTATTTCTGTTTAGAGACTGCAGTGCCATCAAATACTTCCATTCTCATATATCAGACACAGAACTGAAAATATGTAGGGCCATGTGCTGAAACTTTGAATAGGCATGGGCAGGTGGTTGGGTGAGAGCCTAACCCTGAGCTGATTCCAGATCAGCAACTAATGGGGTCCGTTGAACTCTGCATGGAGACTGGTGCACATGCTTTCTGAGTCAGTTAAACTAAACTGGCACCAGTAGAACTTTGTTAAAACTGAGCTACAGGTGCAGGACAGTTAGGCACAGACATGACCTTGGCAGAAGCAATAAGGTTATAGAAGAGTGGCTCTGGAGGTCACTGGCTCCTCCTAGCTATAATGTGCCTACTTGGGGCACTTCCTCAACCGTGTTCACTCTGAACGCCAGAAAGAATAGTCAGATATTTGCTGAGTGTCTGTGATTGCCAGTTACTGTGGTGGACTGCGCTTGAAGCCTGGCCTGCATCATTTAAAGCTGGGAACACAGGACTGGGGTTGCAGCTCAATGACGGTGCTTATCCAGTATGTGTCAAGACCCTAGGTTTGATCCCTTGTGCCACCACCACCAGAAAAAAAGGAGGTGAAATGAAATGATGGACGACACCATAAAGGATTTTGGTGCTGTTTTTGAGACACGGTCTCACTGTGTATCCCATGCTGGCCTCAGACTTAACAGAAATTCTCCTGCCTCAGCCTCTTGGTGCTGAAATTACCAGTTTGCACCAGCATGCCAGGCTATATTAACAGGTTTTGAAGGTCTAGTTGTTGTTAAAATACACTGGAGGTTTTTGAGACAGTCAAGTGCGTCTAATGATCTTCTTGTGTGGTTTGGTGGTACTATGACTATATTTTCATGGTGGTGGCAGACACAAGCTATTGAAATATATGTTTTTCCTCCAGTGCCTTTGTTCCTGATCACAATTACCTCAGAATCTAGTCTCCACACAAATATTTGTTCACAGGAGAGAAGAAAATGCCTTTTTCTTTGTTTTGTTTTTACTTATCTGTAGAAGGTTATATTATTGACAGCCATTGGAAGCATCCATCTAAAAATTTAATAGACAAATTTATAGTCAATCAGAGTGGGAAGGAGTGGTGAGCTTTTAGTGAATTCAGAAATTTCAAAATGGACTGGACCTTAGATCTGTCTTTAAAATTGTGTATCACTTAGTTCAAAATATCTTAAAGTTGTCTAACATCTAAATAATTTGGAACTTTTCCACTTTATTTTCTTTCTTTCAGTTGTGATAAGGGAATTATATAATTTAAGAGATAAGTAATTTATTAAATAATTTTAGTTATAATAGCTACATTTGAATTAAAGTAGGAACTATAAGATTTTGAAAGTCTGCTGGCATTTTTGTTTTTGTTTTTCATTTGGGTGGTGCTGAGGTTTGATCCTGGGTCTCTGAGGTGCCCGGTGAGCACTAGGTTACTACTGTTCTACACCCAGCCCTGGTGTTTGTTTTTGAGGTGATGCAATTGGTTGTTTTTACAATGTTTTGGTGAGGAGAACTTCCTCCTTAACTTTAAGAAGACTTCAATAAGTAGACCCAGATTTAGTTCAGGCAAAGATTTCTGAAGTATGGTGAAGAATTTATGATGCTCAAGTGTTCTTGGAGTTTTCTGTTAAAAATGTTTCTTCTAGAAACATGGGAGGGGGAAAAAGGAAGAAAGAATCGTTAAGGGATTTGATGAAAGCAGCCAGGAGGCAGCACTATTTGAGTAGGTGTGGAAGAAAGAACAGGCACTGTGCGTCTAACAGATTACAAGAATAGGACAGCTAATCGAGTAATCTCTGTTATATGTCATTACCCTTGGCCTGGACAGTTAGTATGTGTTTCTTGCTTAATGCTACTTTTGCTGGTTGTAGGTCTAAATTTATGTATGTTTTTACCTTTCCTTCTCCTGGACTATACTTGACATTTGTTATCATTGTATACAGTTCTTGTATTAGGTTTAAAACTCTCTTATTTAGAAAAAAAGGGGAAATGTAGTGGCATTTTGTTCCGCCAATAGACTTGGGGTAAGGGCCTTAGGATGTGGCCTATAAGGGAGAGTAGGGTTTCACTTGGGCTCTCTCTTGGGTTGTTGTCTGAGCATCCTGTATTGCATACAAACCCTGTGCCTCCAGGGGCAGAAGACCAAAGTGGTTATTGTGTGAGAGCTCCCTAAATAAATATCTGCTATTCTGTGTTCGGGTGTCTGTGGACTTCCTTTAACCTGCCTTCACAACATTCTGGAGGACTTCTGTTTTGTTTTGTTTCAGGTGGATATGAGCCCCCGCTCACCAACGTCTTCACAATGCAGTGGTTTCTCACTCTCTTCGCCACATGCCTCCCTAACCACACGGTTTTGAAGATCTGGGACTCAGTTTTCTTTGAAGGTTCAGAGATCATCCTGAGGGTGTCACTGGCCATCTGGGCAAAACTGGGAGAGTAAGTGTTAGCTGTACTCTGGCTCTAGCTGCCTTTGGGCTCTTCAGTGTAGAGCATCATTTGACTCCTTGGATTCTCTGGGAGAAAGGGAATCTAGTCAGGGATGGCAGGCTTCCTCCAGATCCTCTCCAAAGTATCTGACCATCCTCAGAGACTTTCCAGACAAGCCCATGGAAGAGGAAAGTGACACAGCTAGAGAAGAAACTGCTGTTTCTGGAAAGAAATAGGCAGACTTGCTGGAATACATTACAGTTGGGATTCTTTTCCCTTCCCTTCCCTTCCCTTCCCTTCCCTTCCCTTCCCTTCTCCTTTCCTTTCCCTTCCCCTTCCTTCCTTCCTTCCTTTTTTTTTTTTTTTTTTTGAGACAGAGTTTTATCTAGCATAGGCTGGCCTCTACTCGCTATGAGAAGGAGAATGGCCTTCCACTCTCCACCCCTCCTCCCCAGGCTCTACCTCCCAAATGCTAGGACTATAGGTGCATGTCACTATACCTGGCTCTTTGGTTATTTATGAATCTTTGTAATTTACTTTGTTCTACCTTCGGAGCTGTGATCAAATTAAATGATGTTCCCTACGCAAAGTATACCTGTGCTTGTTACAGTCAGTAGGAGGTACATTTATGCTTGTCCAGTCAGAAGGAGGTGTATTTATTCTTGTCCAGTCAGAAGGAGGTGTGCCTGTGCCTGTATAGTCAGAAGGAGGTGTGCCTGTGCCAGTATAGTCAGAAGGAGGTGTGCCTGTTCCTCTAGAGTCAGTAGGAGGTGTGTCTATGCTTTTATAGTGAGTAGTACTATACCATGTGCTTCTCTGTTCATGAGGAACTACTTAGACTGTTCAAATCTGGTTCTGCCAGAGCATAACACCAACCAGACTTCACTTACCCCTTCCTAGTATCGAGAAAGATGGCACTTTCTGCTCTTTTATTGCCAACTTAAAAAAGCAGAGAAATTTATAGAGAATGACTTGAGTAGGCATCCATGATAACATGTCAGAAAACTAATAAGCCACTGTCAGTGTTTTGTCTTAAATTTTTAAAAATTACACTTATTTATGTGTCTTTCTGTGCATGGGTGCACAGTGCCATGGCCCAACACACATATTGTGTGTTGGTCAGAAGACAGCTTCCAGGAGTTAGTCCTCTTCTTGTACCAATTGGATTCTGAGGATAGAACTCAGGTTGCCAGACTTGGCAGCAAGCCCCTTTACCTACTGAGCCTTCTTGCCCACTCTGTTTTGAAAGTTTTTAACTAGCCTTCTTATTAGTAACTTGTTTCTGGAAAGATTTTTTTTAAACAAGGGAAGATCCAGGAACTATCAATTCAGGGGTTTAAAAACATCATTAATGTATGTATTTGTAATCATCACGAAGCTGTTTGCTTTTGTCTTTATTGTATGATGATTTCCAGACAATCCAACACATTTACCTCTGTGAGGTTTGCAGGGCCTTTACTTATCTTTTTACTTTTGCCCAGTATGCATTTCTGTATTTCCAGACACTCCGCACTGTAAGCTCTCTGAACATTCTGGTCCATTACTGGGCAATGGTCTAGAGCACTCAGATAGGAGAGTGCTATACTGTACTGTATGATGGGCCAGTGCTGGTCCCTTGCTGTTAGTCCCCAATGATGAGGCGGGAGCAAAAGGGATGAGTCTACTGCTCCTCTATATCCACTTTCTGACATGTCAGAATTTATCCCTGGGTGGCAGCAGGATTGTCACTGGTGAAATCATAACTGCAGCACATGAAAGCTGGAACTCACGGAGTGTTCGCAGTGTACAGACAGTCTTCCAAGAGCTCTGCATATGTTAGCTCATTAATGCTTCTTCATCATCCTACATGGTTTGGTATTTTACCGTCTTTGTTTTAAAATGTATCTGTATGTGTATGAGTATATCGTGTGTGTATGTATGTGTGTGCATGAGTGCATGTTTGCTTATGTGTGTGCATGAGTGCATATTTGTATATGTGTGTGTATATGTATGCATGTGTGCATGGGCCTGTGTGTTGTATGTGCATGAGTGCACGCTTGCATATGTGTGTATATGTGTGCATGTGCCTGTGTGTGTGTGTGTGTGCGTGAGTGCACGTTTACATATGTGTGTATATGTGTGCATGTGCCTGTGTGTGTGTGTGCGTGCGTGCGTG